CATTACTCTTAAGAGTTTCTTCTTCATCTTATATAATTCCCTGCATCATCTAAATTTGGTATATTTAAAAAAATGTTTAGAAAATGTTTAAAAATTATTATATTTTATTATTTTGTATTATTGTCATTATATAAGCCTAATTCTGTGCACCATCTAAAATCTTATTTTTAAAAAATACTTACAAATGTCATTTTTAATCTTCATTACTATTAATAATTTAAAAACTTCTTCTTCTTCTATAATTCCCTGCACCATCTAAATTCTTCTATTAAAAAAACATAAAAATGTTTAGATGATTTAAAAATAATTGATTTTTAAATAAATTATTAAATTATTATATTTATTTATTTATTTTTGATAGTGACTTTAAAACTCTTTTTTTAAATTATGGTTATTATAAAGAACCACTCAAATTAACTTTTTTTCTTTTACTTTACTTTGAACAAATATTTTAACGCTACTTTGAAACCTTTATTAGAATTTTGATAGTGCTGTATTTTCATTTAAGTTAAAGCACATCTGTAACAGTTTGCTTGTGCGCATTGATACCCTTTAGGTGAATCTTGAATCCCCTTCATTCCAGCATTTATTTGTTTTAGAGATTCTGAGCCGCTCCGTCCCTCTTCAGCCATGATCTGATATACCTCTTTAGGAAAACTCATCGTCCCTCCTGACATGATGCTGTGTATTATGGCTTTGAGCAGCATGGGAGGTTTGGAGATCAGTATCTGCTGAGATGATTTTTTTTTTTCTGTACTTAGTGCAGGTCATTGACCGAGAGGAGACGCAGAGCTGGTGTTGAAGTATCGTCAAATACCCAGTGCCAGTCTAAATGCCAGTTTTGGCGGTTTTCCTTGTGCAAATGCTGCAAGGTTATTGTTTTGCCTTGCTCTGTATCCACATGTTTTGGTTGTTAGCTCATCTTGTACTGTGAATGAGGGTTCTCCTTTAATTGTTTCCAGCCAGTAGAGCTGGAGAGATAAAGGTGTTGTTACATCCTGGTTTGCTGCATTCACCAAATGAGCTGGTAAACAAATGCTCATGCACGCATACTCTGTATCTGTCTGGTGAGCTGTAAATAATTTTATGTATGATGCACTCAGTCATTGTTTGTTTATTATGCACTGAGTATATAGACTTATACTGACATCTAGTGGTGTGGATGCACAATAGCTCAAGTTATCGATTGGATTTGACAAAATAAAGTGGGTTGGCTGGTTTTGTGATCTCAACATGTCACTACATGTTAAAAGAAAACTGCTTTTTTTAGGCAAAAGCACTTTTGCATAATTATAAAAAGAATTATAAATATACTTTAAAAGAATGTACTGCAAGTGGAAACTGAATGTAAAGTATTCGGACACTTAACTGAATGTTAATTACAATTAAATGAATACCTGTTATAGTTTAAAATGATATTAAATGCTATTAGTTGAACTTCTATTTTCTTTGAAATATGCCATATGTACTGACAAACATTTATGGTAAACTAAAATATGCTTTAATGTCATTTCTATCGAACCTTGTATGTTGTGTATATACATATATTCGTAATTATGCATTTGTAATAAAGAAGTTGCAATTTAGTGCATTTATATATTAACTTTAAATGTAATAAGAGCACACTACAGAAGAAAAAAGTACTAAAGTGTGTTAAGAAACATTCATGAAAGTGTATTTGAAGTACACTTAAGTGGCTATGTCATTAATATTATATTATCTGCAAGTAGAGTTTTTTAATGAGCTTTTAAGATTTGAAACATTAGTGCACATTCAGTTTCACTATGGATGACTGTAGTCTTCATGTAAGTGTAAATGATTTTAAACAGATTTTAAAAGTGATTTATTTATTTATGTGTAATACTTTTTAAAGAGGGAGAAACTATTAAGTGCACATTTAAATAACTATTCTAAATCTAAATCGGTGATGAACATATTGCTTTGTCATTTAGATGCGATTAATTTAAACTTAAAGCATCATAACTCTATTCCTCACTCATTCTGAGACCCACATAAAGAATGTAATATCTCTTTTGATTATTTTATTTTGTAATTTTGAGCATTTCTGTCAGCTCAAACATTCTTTTGCCTCACATACATATAATTACATACATTTATGAGGGTTTTATGTACAGAGTTTGAAAGGTAGTCTTCTTAACGTTCTGATTGCTTAAAATGCATTTAATATCAATCAGTATTCATCTGAAATGTAACTTTTGGATTCCTTTTGCATTGTCACTTAAATAATACATTTATCTACCACTGTACCTGATGAAAAACCTGAAAAAACAAATGTACCTAAAATCCTCTTCTCATTTGTCCTGTTATAACATCCGAACTCCATCATCGAATATTATAGTGCTAAAGTTGCCACAACTGTCCAATCCTGGCTAGAAAATACTTTTTGATAGACTGTAATTCAAGCTGTTACAGAGGAAATTCAGTGAAAGAGGAAGTGGTCTGTTTCGACTTGGTATGAGATGGCATTGTGATCAGTGCAAACAGGAAAAATTCCAAAACTACATTTTTTGGCAAGAATCACATTAAGCGTAGAAAGTCATATTATACAACAAATTGGTGAATGTGTTCCCTCTCGGCCCACCATGTCAAAAAATATATTCTAAAATATGAGGTTCAGGTGCTTCTTATGTTGTAAGCCTATAATAAAAGCAATATTGTGCGTAGAGTCCTGTACATTGCAATGGTTGGAGGAGTACAAGAAACTGAAAAAAATTACAAGAAAAAGCAGCATTGAACATGCATTGTCTGAGTGAAAATTGTTTCTACACCACTTTTTTAGTGTAATTGTGTATACTTGATTACATTTACATCATCTAATGCTTAAAGTTCATCTTCAAAGTGACATAATCACTGTTAATTGTAATAAACTTTATGGTCACTTTATTTTAAGGTCCAATTCTCGCTATTAACAAACCATTAACTACAAATTTAGCTTCAGTTAACTCCTAATTTGCTGCTTAATAATAGTTAGTAAGGTAGTTGTTAAGTTTAAGTATTGGGTAGGATTAGGGATGGAGAATATGGTCAGAATATGTGCTTTATAATTACTAATAAACAGCCAATATGTTAATAATAGGCATGCTAATAAGCAACTAGTTAATAGTGAGAATTGGTCCCAATACTAAAATGTTACCATCTTTATTTTTTTATTGAGAGAAAATGCAAATAATTAATAATATTAATTGTAATATTTAGCAAATGTATTTATTAAAACTAAATAGAGTAGAACATCAGCTATTCATTGGTCATCGGCTGTACCATGAAAATAATTATTGATTTATTAGTACGACGACCATTTTTATATCAGTTCATCCCTTTTTTTTGTTGAGTGAGCGAAGAATTGGCCTTCCTCTTGTTGTCTGTTTTCAATTTTACACACAATTTGCACTCAATTGCACAGCAACCAAATTCGAACGCTCCCATTCAAATTGGTGAAGCCGTCCACATGCTCTCAACGTTCTCAGGAGTGGAGATGGGTTTTAGAGCGGGAAATCTTGTAGCTTATATATTGAGTTGGCTGGACTGGAAGTGTTAACCTGTACAACACGGATATATTAATGTTGCAAGCATTTTACACATTCACAGCTAACATGTAGGGAGTAAAATAAATAATAATAATTTAGTATAGGATATTGTACAAAATCTAAACTTTTTATATTTAAAAAAACACACTGTGCTGAAAGAGTCTATTAAGAGTTATTGTGTCTGTGTATTTGAAGTAGTCCATTCTCAGAACATAGCACTGAAACTGCTAGTCTGATTCGCTTTTTGCCAAACAAACCGAACCAAACCGGGCTGAAGTGGATCGCGCCAGAACTCTGCGGCTTGATAGAATGTAAGCCGTTTCAGATCGCTCCGTGCTACACTCCTCCATGAGCAGTACCAGTTCAGTCGTTCTCTCCATAGACGGGCTGTTTGTGAGGAATTTCTCTCAGTGCTTTTCTCTCTGTGGTTATATCTGTGCACTCTTTTGTCTTTCATTTTTGGAGCAGGCTCCCCTGATGGCTTCATGGATGTTTTGCTGGGCCCTTGTGGTCTCTGCTGGGGAAGTCCAGCCAACTGTGACGTAGGTCAGTCCTTTTGCCTGCTTCTTCCTCAGCGTCCTTTTCTTTCAGCCGTGCTACAGACTTTCAGCCATCCTGCCCCTGTAGGTTACAGCTGGAGAAAAAAATCAGAAATGTCAGATTGAAGTATGCATTTTTTTTTCAATGTTTATTACAATACTTTTTATTTTCCAAGCTAAAAGGGATATTCCATCCCAAAAATGAAAATTGTGTGTCATCATTAACTCACCCTAAAGTTTTTCTTTCTTCTGTTGAACACAAAAGAAGATATTTTGAAGAATGTTGCTGGTCCCCATTGACTTTCATAGTAGGGAAAATACTATGGCAGTCAATGGAGACCAGCAACTGTTTGGATTATGATGACAGAATTTTAATTTTTGGGTGAACAATCCCTTTAATATGCAAAGACAACTATACGTAAACCATTTGTAGGTGCTATTAAACATTGATAGCAACATTAGATCATAAACCAAGATTAGGGTGTTACTATCTGTTTCTGACCAATGTTTGAGAAATCTGAGAAATTGTTTGAAAAAAGTCTGTCTATCTATCTATCTATCTATCTGTCTGTCTGTCTGTCTGTCTGATACAGAAAAACTCTCTTTACCTTTAAGGGTTACAAAACTTGCCACGTTTGGAAATTCAAAAGTAGCCGTCTGATATTACACTTATTTAAGTGGTCAAAGCTGTGCACACCAATAAAGCCAGTATGAATGGAAACATTGCCAAAAACACTGGCTGCATGTCTAAATGCAAATCTTGGTCTGACAGTCACTGGCTTGTAAAAGGCATTAACTTGTCAGATACTATTTGGATGGACTAGTACTGCCCCTTTCCCTTGTCGCAGGCCGGTTACCAAATCCATGGTGTCTTAGCTTAAAAATATGTTGGATATAGCAGATTCTTTCCATTTAAACAGAGGGGACACATATATTTACCTTTGAAAATGACGTTAAACAGGGTTTTAAAGTTAAATGGATAAATCTTAAATGTTACTGCACTCTAATATGCTGGTCTGTCAAATTTGTATATATATAGGTCTTTTTTAAAATAAGTTTTCTTTAGCACGGACGCATGCAAGACTTATACGTTGTTGCTTATATATATATTTCCAATAAATGCTGCTCTTTTTATTTGTCAAAGAATCCTGGAAACAACATATCACAGTTTCCACAAAAAATATAGAGCAGTACAACTGTTTTCAACATTGATAATAAGAAGAAATATTTCTTGAGCTGTAAATTAGCATTTGAATGATTTCTGAAGGATCATGTGACACTGAAGACTGGAGTAACGATGCTAAAAATTAAGCTTTGCATCACAGGAATAAATTACAGTTTAAAACATATTCAAATAGAAAACAGTTATTTAAAATGTAATAATATTTATAATAATTGTAATAATATTACTGTTTTTACTGTACTTTTGATCAAATAAATGCAGCCTTAATGAGCATAGGAGACTTTCTTTGAAAAACATTAAAGCGTCCTACTGATCCCAAATTTTTAAACATTAGTATATCATGTCAGAATTTGAACCCAGTGTCTCCTTGAAGTGTTTTTTTCCCCCTCTTTGGTCATGTCTCATCTTGCCTAGGGCAGCAAATGAGTTAGGAGTGCAAACTGGTGCCCCCTCATAAAAATATGTGCATGAAGCTTCAGGTTGGTGTTTTCCAAGCTAAAAAGGATATTCCATCCCAAAAATGAAAATTGTGTGTCATCATTAACTCACCCTAAAGTTTTTCTTTCTTCTGTTGAAAACAAAAGAAGATATTTTGAAGAATGTTGCTGGTCCCCTCTGACTTTCATAGTAGGGAAAATACTATGGCAGTCAATGGAGACCAGCAACTGTTTGGATTATGATGACAGAATTTTAATTTTTGGGTGAACAATCCCTTTAATATGCAAAGACAACTATACGTACACACAAAAGAAGATATTTTGAAGAATGTTGCTGGTCCCCATTGACTTTCATAGTAGGGAAAATACTATGGCAGTCAATGGAGACCAGCAACTGTTTGGATTATGATGACAGAATTTTAATTTTTGGGTGAACAATCCCTTTAATATGCAAAGACAACTATACGTAAACCATTTGTAGGTGCTATTAAACATTGATAGCAACATTAGATCATAAACCAAGATTAGGGTGTTACTATCTGTTTCTGACCAATGTTTGAGAAATCTGAGAAATTGTTTGAAAAAAGTCTGTCTATCTATCTATCTATCTATCTATCTATCTATCTATCTATCTATCTATCTATCTATCTGTCTGTCTGTCTGTCTGTCTGATACAGAAAAACTCTCTTTACCTTTAAGGGTTACAAAACTTGCCACGTTTGGAAATTCAAAAGTAGCCGTCTGATATTACACTTATTTAAGTGGTCAAAGCTGTGCACACCAATAAAGCCAGTATGAATGGAAACATTGCCAAAAACACTGGCTGCATGTCTAAATGCAAATCTTGGTCTGACAGTCACTGGCTTGTAAAAGGCATTAACTTGTCAGATACTATTTGGATGGACTAGTACTGCCCCTTTACCTTGTCGCAGGCCGGTTACCAAATCCATGGTGTCTTAGCTTAAAAATATGTTGGATATAGCAGATTCTTTCCATTTAAACAGAGGGGACACATATATTTACCTTTGAAAATGACGTTAAACAGGGTTTTAAAGTTAAAAGTTAAATGGTTAAATGTTACTGCACTCTAATATGCTGGTCTGTCAAATTTGTATATATATAGGTCTTTTGTCTTTTTTGTTTTCTTTAGCACGGACGCATGCAAGACTTATACGTTGTTGCTTATATATATATTTCCAATAAATGCTGCTCTTTTTATTTGTCAAAGAATCCTGGAAACAACATATCACAGTTTCCACAAAAAATATAGAGCAGTACAACTGTTTTCAACATTGATAATAAGAAGAAATATTTCTTGAGCTGTAAATTAGCATTTGAATGATTTCTGAAGGATCATGTGACACTGAAGACTGGAGTAA